TTTAATTTCGTAAAATTATCGTATGAAAGACATGGAAGAAGAAGGACAGTGTTCTTATATTTATACTGTCTTTATCTTTCAGACATTCTAAGAGATTTTAAAATAGATTTTAAAAATTAAAATATCTCCTAAACTAATGATTTTTTTTTAACATAAATAGGTTAATACTGTTTCGCAAAGAAAATCAAGGTGCATCAACTGGTGCAATAAAAAATATGATTCCATTTTTAAAAAAAACGTTAATGACCTTCATATGTCCTCCTACGCGTCCACCTACAAGAAAACTAGCATCATCAGAATGTGCCCCTCTCGAAACCATTCATCTGAAACATTTTTCGCTACGCATAATAATAATGACGTAAATCTATGTGATGACCTTGTATAACGTGTCACGTGTTTCCCAAGGACCATTGAATTATTAACTTGTTCTTTCATCATTTTTTTATTAATTTCGTTTGTGACACTTTGGCAGTATAAATGATCTCTGTTACACAAATGAAATGTTGAAAAATGAAAAACAAATATCACATTTCGGTCATATCGAATGTCAACGGATTTATTGCTGCACGACTTTTCCTTTTTTTTAAGAAATTACAACAGTTCACAATATTTACTGTCCGATTATTTAAATGTCCGAGCGTTAATGGGAGTCAGTGTGCACACGTTCGACCGGACGTATGGTCGAGAACGTACGAACACGAGAGAAGTAGTAGGCCAGCTCCTTATACGGATCGTTGTTTCGGTCCTCGCGAGGAGGAGAACTTGCTCCGATCCGTTTGACCACCCAAAACGAGCGAGGAACAAGAAGAATTTTTTCGATTCGTTTCATCAAAATCACCTCTTTCCATTTTCCATCCGTCGAAGCCTTCGAATCTAAGATTTATAATCTCGAGGGCTGCGCGTGTATTTTAAGCCACGTGCACACAAGTGTGGAGTCTGCGAAATGTACTGTGGCTCGAGATAAGACGAAAATCAAGTGTAATAATTAATTTAACCCATTAGGGACCAAGTGATGTTATAAATACTCTAATAATTTCTTTGAACTTCGTGAAACTGCGAGATTCAATAAATAAAATATTGTTTAAAGGATTTAAAGATTCTCTTAACCCGTGAAATGATAAAAAAAATCTCAAAATTTAATACCATAAGAATGGCGTATATCAGGAGTGCATTTGTATGGATATCAGAAATAATTTCAAAAGGAGAAATTCCTGATAGAGAATACTCGTGAGTCAGTTGATACTTATTCATCATCGAATTATTATTCGAATAATTCGAGATAATTCACGTAAACTAAACATCTTATTGCTTCTCGACGAAAGTTAAAATCGTGAAGGAAATTTTTCAGAAAATTGAAATTACATATCATTAACTATACTTGATGATTGCTTTAAACGAAGTCACATGCCAGAGAAACACAATCAACAAAATACCATTTAAACAGAATGATTATTTCCAATGTTATATCATTTCATTTGAAGCGACACTTCACTCACTATTTCGTAAATAAACTACTGAGAGAGTTAAACTTTCCATTCTCAATAAATTCGACTGAAGTGCGACTTCGTTTAATTAAAAATAAAAGCTGTTCCATTTCAGACGTGTGTCATTCGATTTCAATAAAATTTATATATATATATATATATATATAAATTTTTATATATATATTTATTATATTATATTTCGTATTTATTATATATATATATACACACACACACACACACACATTGTATCCACACTCAAGATAGTAGGTATTTTGAAAATTCTTATGAGTAGAGTGTCCATTTCAATTACAAATACACATGTCGATTTTAAACACTCCGGCATATATCAGACGATATTATAATTTACACCGATGCATATGCGATTTTACCTGCATTCGACGAGAATTGTCACGTCACGAAGTCGTAACGTGTACTCGCATTATCGAGATCCCAATATTTTAAACCTCTTGCGCTGGAATGACGTTGAGAACTTTTTGCTCCAAAAACTGCAATATTTTCTCAGCTTCAAGTATATTGAAACACAGCCCAGCAAAGCAAATGAATAAATTTATTACTTCTGATGTTAATCCAGCCCCAGAGTTTAAAAAGAAAGCGACGAATTGTTGTACACGATTTTGGTCACTCGTTATGGTCCGCAATCAGTTGCGCCAGCGCCATTCGTGGGTTAAAAGCAAATACTCAAAGTGCCCTAAAAGCGTCCTAGATCCTGATGATTTTCTAAACGTCAACCTCCATTAAGCGCGTGCCTAATTGGAAATTAACGACGTAATTTTCTCACTCTTCGACTTCCCTCTTGTTTTGAGTCACAGGAGCTTCAGTGATTGCACTTGTACCACAAATTTACGCTCACGGTGTATAATTATTCATGTGTATATATATATATATATATATATACATATATATATATACATACACGTAATGGTTTATTATATATGTTACACGTAATGGTAATTATATATACGTGGTTATATATAATGGTTTCTTCGAAGCGATCAAGATGCTTTCATTACAAGAATCTTATCTGCTGTCAGCGTTAACTTTCATAAACGTTTTGTCAAGCTCGATAAACCGCGGGGGAGTGGAGAGGTGGGGGAGGAAGAAGAGGAATTATTCTTCTCGAATGATTTCGACAAATTGCCATGAGGCCCCTAACTGTCGGTAGGCGAGCCAGGACAAAACATTCGTACGAAACGAGGACCGCGGCGCGTTCGTACGTGACCGAGAGAAACGAAAACGACACGACTCGCGCGCGTTTTCATGGGCAACGCGTGACGAGAGATGCAACGAATCGTTAAAATGCCTCGTAAACTACCTCTCTGTTCCTTCGGCCTTCGGAAAAAAGAAAAAAAGAAAAATCCACCGAATTGAGAAGCTGCGGGCCCGCGGAGCACGGGATTCGTACGGGTCGATCGAAACACATGCGTTAACATCGAATTCATTTCATATTCTTCGCGTTTCTTTTCTTTCGCGTTAAGAAGAAACTCTCGCGGCTTTTCATCGAATTCTGTTTTCGCGTGACAGACAGATCGAGGTAAACGTTCAACCGCCTCGCGCTGGCAACTGATTGCGGACCATAACGAGTGACCGAACCGAAGTGTAAAACGATTCGTCTTTTTGTTTCTTTTTGAACACGTCGGTATATCACTGGATAAAAATTATTGAGAAGTAACAAATTTGTCACATAATTATACGTAAATATACTTAAAACTGAGAAATTATTGCAATTTTAGAGCAAAAAAACTCCCGATTAAAGGGACAACGCAATCTTTCAATCTTTCATTCGCATTCTGTTGCAAATGCAATAAAGTATCTTTCATTCGTTATATTTGCTCCGTTTTCATTTTACTCGAGTTCATGTCTTTTTGTCATCAAAATTTATTACGTGTGTTAATGGGAATCAATTCTCGTACATGGAACAAATAACAATGTTGCAGAGGCACCGTTAGGTTTTCGATTTACTTTGGAAAACTATGACCTCTTTATTTTTACACGCTTATATTTTACGCATTTAACACATTATCCTTTTATACTTTATGTTTATCCTGTTTTATGTTTTATTTGCATCTTGTTGAAGCAATGAACATCCCCTCCTTTTTATTTCCAGTCAAACAAATTCATGTCATTTCAAATACTTTGTATCAACATTTCGTGTATTAATAGGAATTTATTCTCGTATATGGAATAAATAACAATATCGTAAAGGCATCTTTAGGCATTTTTTCGAAAACTTATGTAACACCACGTTTTTGTCCACTCATGCATTTTACATTATCCTTTTGTACGATACTTTTATATATTACTTAATATGTAAGTAAGCAAATCATTTCTATGAATGTTATTCCGATCCGACGGTTTTATTTGGCGATCGCTTTCTTTAATGAATATTAAAGAAAGAAAAAAAAAAAGACACGCATGGTTCGATGTATAAATAATTCATGTCGCGGATGGACATAGCAAGACTCGGCTAAGCGCGAGATACATACGAATTTCGTCCGGAGCATAATTTAATCCCTTGGTTTTACCCCTTCTCTTTCGCGTTTCACTTAATCGTGTGTTTACGTTCGACGTGTTTACTACAAAATCGTAGAATCCTCGTTGAAAGTATTTCCTAGAATCTTACTCTGTACTTCTTGGAACATTCCTTCTATTGTTTTCATTTTTTTTCTTTTCTTTTTCTATTGAAGAAACTAAGACTCATTCGGCGAAATAATGTCGTCGTTGTCATTCAAGACTTATGTTAAATGTATCTATGAAACATTCTTGTTACGTGTATTATTTCACTGTTCGTTGATTATTTAAAAAGAAAAAAAAAAAAAAAATGCGAATAAAAGTCGCGAGATAGTTATGAAAATTTGCTTGCAATTATCCTTTTAAAAGGACAACGGACAAGTCTGAGTTCGGTTTAATTCATAGAAAAATAAGATACCAGTATTACGTGACGCTGAAGTCAATCAAAGTAAAACATACAGAGAATAATCAATCACACATATAAAACACAGTGTGCACGTGTACACTGTGTCTTATAACTCTGAAACTACTCCAATTCTTATTTTCAATTCCTACACTAAATTAATCGAAAATAACTTAAATTAAAAATTAATTCCTGTTAAACGAAAACATCCTGTACAAATTCTTTCATTCGTATTTATTTAAAAGTTCTTCAGTTTGAGACTCACAATACATACATGATGTCCCGTAACTGGTGGTACAACTGAAACAACAACACGACAAGAAACAGTAAAACTCGAGAACGAAGGTCCCAACGAACAAATTTTATTCTTTCCTCTCGTTTCTTCACGTGGAATTATACTTCCTGTCCGCGTCACCAGTTACAGGACATTGGTTTTCTTGTAAAAAGATCAACATTGAGAGAGAGCACGAGCCGAATAGACAAAAGCGGTTAACCGGGACGATTAACGCGCGACAAATAATATATATGTACTCGAGTTGGTTGTGCAAACTGTACAGGCTATACGTGTATATGTATGTACTTACACGGACTTGGAGGGAAGATGGTCAATCACGTATCCATGAATTTCACCGACGTGTCCTTCTCCTCTTTCCTCCGCATGATAAGCTGCCTTTGAATTCGTTCGGAGCTCCAGATTATCGAGAAAGAAGATCCTTCGCCGACGATCCCGCGATCTCGCCGCTTTCGACACGAAACTTTTTTATAAATGGCGCGCGCTCTTTCGATTTGCAGTTTGCGATCGTACAGTAACGAATCGCGAACGTTCGACGAAAAGCAAAGGAAACAGGGATAAAGAGCAACGTGGAATCCTATATATATATATTTGTGTGTGTGTATATATATATATATATATATTTTTTAGGTTAGGTTAGAGCACAAAATATCAACTACACGTTACATAACACCCTTGCGTCTCGAGCGTCGCGAGAACACTGAGCCACCGTTCATCGTACAACTTCCCCCTCCACTACCGCGCCATAATACGTCGAGTCCCATACGCGTATAAACATGCGGCCCCCAGTGGAAAGACCACTTTGCAGTTTTCGTCGATTCTCCCTAGATGGCCGACACTGCTTTCGATCTCCTCGATCTCTTTCTGTCGTTCGAGGACACGAGATTTTCTCCCTCTCTCTCTTTTTTTTATCTTCTATCTTTCTCTCTCTCCTACGTTTCCCTCTCCCTCTGGTTCGTACACTCTCCTTTCCATTTTCTCCTCATTTTTCTTTCCTTTTTTTTTTTTTATAAAAAAAGTGTTTCGCTCTTCTTAGCTTTGCTGCGGTCAAGGGGTCGGGATAGTTTGAAATTTTCAAAAAATCGATTTTCTTTGTTTTGTTTTGTTTTACATGGTAGTTTGAAGTCTTGGAAATAAGACAGGAAAAGTCTTGGCCATTAAAACGACTTATTTTGGAGTGTAATAATAAATCCGCGGATACAGAATAATTAAATTTGTATCACTGTTTGCAACTTTAAGTGCTATTATAAAGTGTAAATCGTGCGATTCAAATATTATTTTTGACGAATTGAATATTAGGGGACTTGGATTCCATTTTCTCCTCATTTTTCTTTCCTTTTTTTTTTATAAAAAAAGTGTTTCGCTCTTCTTAGCTTTGCTGCGGTCAAGGGGTCGGGATAGTTTGAAATTTTCAAAAAATCGATTTTCTTTGTTTTGTTTCATTTTAAATGGTAGTTTGAAGTCTTGGAAATAAGACAGGAAAAGTCTTGGCCATTAAAACGAGTTATTTTGGAGTGTAATGATAAATCTGTGGATACAATAATTGAATTTGTATCACCGTTTGCAACTTTAAGCGCTATTATAAAGTGTAAATCGTGCGATTCAAATATTACTTTTGACGAATCGAATATTAGGGGACTTGGATTCGATTTAGTTGTGAACTGTAAGAACTGTGAGCCGCGATATAGTAAGTAAAAAAAGTAAGTAAAGGGTACATATGAAAAATGACGTTCTGAAACTTTAAACGCGTTTTTCTCGAAACTAGGTTTTTAGAAACGGTGTGCAAGATATCTCGGAAACTAACCAACCGATTACTGTGAAACTTGGTACGTATCTTTAGTGTAACATTTACTAGAGATTGACGATCGAACATTTCTTAATTTTTAACAATTTCGAAAAATATACACAAAAAAACGTAGAAATTTTTCGCATGAAATCGATACATCAAAAACAAATCGCTGCTATTTTCATAATTTTCACAAAATTGAAAATGTTGGATCGTCAATCCCTAGAGAATATTGTTTACTTTTGAACTTTCTCTTGCAGCTAATCCTATTTGACTGAAATCATGCACACCGATAGGCAACGTAAACAAAAGTTATGTAAAATCATGCCGTTAAAAAGTCAAATAAGAGCCATCTTTCTATCTCTTTTAATGTTGCTTTTTATAGTTTATAACGTGTCAAAATAAACCACCAAATTTCGTGTCAACCAAATATGTACTTTTTTTTTTACTAGCCCTCCAAAGTATTCGTAATTTTTAGGCCCGTCAAACTATCCTGCCCCCTTTAACCTCTTGCGCTGGAATGACGTGCCACGCATTTTTGCTCCCAAAATTGCAACATTTTCTCAGTTTCAAGTATGTTTAAGTACGTAAGCCCAGGCAAAACGAATAATAAACTTATTACTTCTCAATAATTTCTATCCAGTGATGTCATACAAGTTTTAAAAAGAAATCGACAAATTATTGTACACGGTTCGGTCACTCGTTATGGTCCGCGAACCAGTTGCCAGCGCAAGGGGTTGAAAGCCGGTCTGCAAAGTCCTGTAAAATGTTTTCTTTTTTTTTTTTTTCTTATTTTGAGGCGAGAGACTCAAGAGACTCTTTCGCGTTTTGTACCTCTGCACACCAGGGCGCCCAGGATCTCGTCCTCGACAAAGGACGACTAGCCCCATGCTCGAAGGCCAAATCGTCGAAGGTCGATCATCTTTTCGACGAAACGGTTCGGGACGAGTCTACTCTCCTTTTTCTTCTTCTTCTTTTTCCCTCTGACTCTCTCTCTCGTTCACTCTCGTTCTGAGATTGGACGATGGATTTGCTTGTCAGATGGGGAAGAAGCGAGTGGGAAGAGGAGGAAGTGAAACGATTACGCGCGTTTACGATTCGAGCCGTTTGCTACCTGCTGTCCACGACATCGGACGTGGAACGCGCGGGTGAAGGATCGGGAAGTGTTTATTTTGTGAATACGGGCAGGGAAGGGAGGAAGGGTTCAAAATGAAACAAAACGAGAGAAAACGAGGGAGACAAGATGGGAAATTAATGCTAGTTAGATTAAATTTTTATCCAACGAATACTGAGCATTCGAATCAAGATTTTTGCAACATTTAATTCATGGTAATTGTATAATAGTTGCAACGTCACGATGAATTTTAACTGCAGTGGAACTCCGCCTGTATGAATCTTATCGATTAAACAAATATGTAATTTATGTAATCAGAGTTCGTATAACAGGAGTCCACTGACTCTCTCCAGTGATTTATCGCTCGTATAACAAGAGTTCAGGTTTAAATAATTTCCATCAATAAGAGTTCGTTTAATCGGGTATTGATTAAAATTTGACACGGAGTACTGTAACAAATTATTTAGTTTCAATATTTTAACGGATGTTTTGAAATTAAATTAATCAATTAGTTAGATATTCTAGAAATCTGTCACGAGACACGCGAAGGAATTTATTCGAGAAAAAGACGAGCAACCACTCGAGAAAAGAAGTCACAACACGAAGAATATAGATAAACGGAGAACAAACACAGTCGCACTACCTTCGTGCAAAACGTAATTTATATTTTTTTCAAGAGGATCGAAGGGCAGAGGAACGAGAACCTTTAAAAAGAAAAGAAGAAGAAGAAAAAAGAGAGAAAAGAGGGTTCAAGGTCGGGAGGATGAAAGAAACGCGTTCCACTCGTAGGAGTGATCGCGTGTGGGGTAAGACGCGTCGTAGCCCCGAGCTTATGTATACGCGAGGAACGGTTTTGGAACGACCCGCGTAATCCGAATCCGTATTCGAAACCAGTTTCTGCTCCGTGGGTCAACCAAACTCGTCCTGTTGTACAACATCGTCTCCCACCGTGTTCGACCCACGTTCGTTACTCCCCCAAATCGAGATTCCCTGTTTTCATCTCGGCCAATACACCACCATCCTCATCATCATCATCATGTGGCCAGATCCAGCGCTTCCTCTAGGTTCGAATGTTTTTCTAACGACGATCTTTTAACGGTGAAGAAAACAGCTGCGTTGCTGTTTCGATTCGATACGGTCGAACTCTCCCTTACTACACGATTATATTTCAATATATGTTATAATATTATTATTATATTATTATTATATTATTATATTATTATTATTATATTTTAATTATATTATTATTATATTATTATCATTATATTTTAATTATATTATTATTATATTATTATTATATTATTCTCATTATATTTTAATTATATTATTATTATATTATTATTATATTATTATTATAATATTATTATTATATTATTATTATAATATTATTATTATATTATTATTATAATATTACTATTATATTATTATTATAATATTATTATTATATAATATTATTAAATGAGATTGTACTTCAATGTACATTATAATGTTATTAAAATATACGTTGCTTGTTTGGTTCTTTTACGATCTCTTGCACATTTTTTCATAAATAAAGTTCTGCAAAAGTGGAAGGTGACTTAAAGAGATGTAAAAGTGAGAACAATATTACAAACGGCAGCAATTAACTGTTACAGACACTTTGATGTAAATCAATTTTTACTTGAAATACAATTGGTCCAGATGAAAATATATTGAAAATATATCCAAAAAAGTACATTCAAATAAACGAATATGTACAGAAAAGAAAACCAGGTAATTTGTAAATGATATTTAACGCACAAATAAAAATATGCTCCCACTGCGTAAATTAAAATTGAATTCAATTCTTTGGAAGAAACGAATCCTTCTCTAAGTTTGCAAGAACTTTGTGCAAATAGTGTGCAGCAACATATTTGATAAGATGTCCACGTGGATGAGACGTTGCTACTGTCGACAGTCAGCAAGCCAAGTGTGAATTCAACGTAATGCTCGTTTCTCGCGTCGATGCCGATATTTACAAGTTTTTTCGACGAAACGTGTCGTTGCCGTGGATAACCTCGCGCCCTCTTATCTATAAGCGAGCTCCTCCGTTATTACGCGATCTTGTCCAACCACATCGTCGCGGTACGAGCGTGTACACATGTTACGATTGCCTGTAACAAATTAAATCACTCTACCCAGTCGATCAGTTTTTATAATGGTGGATCCACACTGGCCTTTCGCGAACAGGAAACAAAATACTTGACGGCGAAACGAATTTTGTCACGGATAAGAAATGTTCGACGTACACTAACAACAAGTGCAAAGATCAACGTCTTCGATCATTGTCACTGACGATTCTTTCTTTCTTTTTTTTTCTTCTGTAACGTTTAATTCTCTTTTAATTGAACGACCGTCTACCACACGATGAGCGCACAATCCGTGGACGACGAATGACGCGCGTAGAATCGCGGTCGATAAATACGTATCTCCTGTCTGATGACGCAGCGCGCACAGTCAACGAAAGGTAATGCTTTGAAACGTGGATAGACGATTCGAAGGGGGAAAGAAAGTCTCCTGGAGTCGCGACTCGTGCAGTCGTGCTTTATATTCCGCGATCTCAGGATTCCCAATTTTTCGCGTTAATTCGCGCGGCTACGCGGCACTCGCGCTCGTCCAAACGGCAGGACAAGGGGTACCAACGAGGAAAACAGAGGAAAACAGAGGAAAAAGCTACATATATAAGCCGGGAAACAAAGATGAGGGCACTAGTCGACGTCAGCTTCTGTGTCGCAATAGTCGTTGCAGCGATGTCGTGCAGGTTAGTCGATCGATTTGGCCTCTGGTTTCTACGGTTTAAAGGCAATAGGTAACTTTTAGAGATTAAAGAGATACGTATCGATGACACTCGAGCAAACTCCGTATCGTTTCCAGTAATTTTAGCGACAGCGACTGGTCGACCAGTTGCGAGAAAAAATAATAATAATTCGACGCGAGATGCTTTCGATATGGCTCTCTTTGATCCCAATGAAATTTGACGCGGAAATAGTTCTACACGTGAAACAAACATTACTGTGATTTTTAGCGACAGATGGTCGACCAATTGTGAGGAATATTTAAATTTCAAGAAAATCTTAAAGTATTTGAATCGATTTGTTCAAAGATAACTGTAAAGTGCCGGCAAGCGTATGAATTTCCAAACTTGTTGTAATATTAATATATTAGAATGTTAATTTGTGTTAATATGTAATGTTATGTAATATTAATGTTATAGTTGTAATATTAACATATTAGAATGTTAATTTGTGTTAATAGGTAATGTTACGTAATGTTACGTAATGATAATGTAATAGTTGTAATATTAACATACTAGAATGTTAATTTGTGTTAATATGTAATGTTATGTAATGTTAATATTATAGTTGTAGTATTAACATATTACATTATAACATATTAGAATGTATTACATATCATAATATATTAAAATTTATCAGCATATTACATTATAACATATCAGAATCTATTACATATCATAATATATATTAGAATATATCAACATATTACATTCTAACATGTTAGAATGTATTAAGTATCATGGTATTAAAATATATTAACATATTACGTTATAGCAGGATTAGAATGTATTAGAATTAATATGTATAATATGTATTAGAATGTATTATATATCATGATATATTAAAATGTATTGACATGTTACATTATAACATATTAGAATGTATTATATATCATGATATATTAAAATATATTAGAACATGCGGAGAACTTTAGAAACTAATCAGTCCAACAAGTTACTATGTACCTATCATGGACAAACAAGCGGTTTTTCGTGTTAAAATCTTGGGACAGTTTAATTACAATATTGTAATAATTACTAAATTATTATAATTAAACTGTAATTAAAATAATTAGAATAATTACTAATTACAATATTGTAACAATTACTAAATTATTATAATTAAACTGTCGTGGGACAGTTTAATTATAATATTGTAATAATTGCTAAAGTGTCCCGTCGATCGACGATTTTAATAACAAAAGGCTACTCGCACCGAACAAATTAATTTCTAACGTGAAACCTAACTTCTGAGGCCTCCTGACACGTGTGTCTCGTGGCAAAAGCATTGGCAGTTTCGCAATTTCATTAGCACCGTGGCAAGAACAAATTACGATGATTATGTCGATGAAAGTTGCACGCCTTTGGCACAATGTGATACGCAGGATCGAAATTCGATAAGCGTCAACGCGGTATATTATTTAGTTTCATTGCATTAGTCAGATAGATGTATATATTTAGCAAAGGCAACTTTCTCCGCCGCTTTCCTCGGCGCGTGCAAGAAATTTGCAAGGCCACTGGCGACGGACGCATAATGTCGAAGTAACGCGCATTTCGTCTGATAACAGATCTAATGGGCAAGTGTTGGGCGGAACGGATTGGCTGAGAGGTCTCAACGAGAACATCGAAGCTATGAACAGGAACATTCAACGGAACGTACAGCAATTGAACCAACGGATACACGAAACGGTGCAGGAGAACTTGGCGCATGTTCATCGAATGACAGAAAATCTGAACGAGGAGTTAGGTGAGGAGATGATTAGAGTAATTTGAATTAACGTTCATTGGAAGGAAATTTTTTTTGTTGGCGATATCAATTAAATGTTTGAAACCTCTTAGCGATTGGCATCATTTACCTGAACGCGAATGCTACGTCACGAATGAAAAGAAACACTTTGATTTGCTATTTGTTGTGGATTCTACTTATAGAGTAGCTCGTGAAAATATACTTGTAGATTCACGTGTTACGAAACGTTTCGAAATTCCCTTTCGTAGCCACGTACTTGGATAGATTTATTGATTTCATTGAAAGATGCTTGTTAAAAGGAAATTTTGAGCGAATGCACGAATGAAGTAACATCTGTTCGTTGAGGGATAAGAATATTTATATAATTCGAATTATACGGCAAAAGTATCGGTATTTTTATTTTCAAATCAAGCGTTTCCTGATTCAGATTCGACACTTTGCTTTCATAATATCAATAATATTAAATTGTTTTAGTCACATGAAAGTGCTATTAAATGAATGATATTTAAAATATTTGGAATTGATTAACTACTACATATGCAAATGCTATAATAAATACAATGATGTGCGAATATATCTTTTGAAGATTCGTTGTATATATATATAAAATTATTTATAATTCGGCACGTGTGCATAACACGCAGTTTGCTCGTTAGAAGTATGACTAACGCGACTACGTAACCGGTATGAATAATTCTCCGATGGGAACTATTATTTCTGCTTCGAAATGAACTATCACTTAGACAATCGTAGCTAATAATACTGCACGAATTCTATAAATATATAAATCTAATTAACGGTATCCTTGTTGCATGAATAAAGTGCTTTGCAGATAGATTCAGACGAAGTGAGTTTACGCGATAAACCGATTATTCGACATTCTTTTTCTCGATTGTTTCTTCAACTCAGTGTCGGGAAATTACAGCAATTATACCTAAACGTTAACGTAAACGTTCCTTTCACCATCGAGAACCGTTCTCTCTCTCCGCTTTTCAAGGCGATTGAAGGTTTTTTCCCCTAATCGCGACATTTGCCTCGCGTGTTCGATCACTTTGATTTTTGAAATTTCCCAGTCGAGGGGATTTCTTGAGGTTGATGTTAATCGGTTACGAAAAAAAAAAAAAACAAATCTCTTAAGTTGGAAGATGTAAATCCCCCCCAAAAAAACAGATGATATGTTCTATTAAAAAAAATAACTAAAAATATATTACGACTTCGAAATATTCAAAAATCAAAAATACGTAAGTAGTAAGCCTTTGTAGATTCTCCTAATTTTAGTTTTATCTGGTATCTAAATTCTAAGAGAATTTAGAAGCCAATTTTAGCATAAGTTCACGTCTCGTTAAAAACAATTGTCTGCAAATGTCTTTTCATTGTCAAAATCTTCAGTTGATGGAAGAAGTAGCCGTGCGACATAGTATCGCTGTAACATAGTCATTACGATACTACAATTACGATACTAAATTGTTGAATGTCTCAAGAACGAAAGTGACTCACAAATGATTGACTTTTCAACCGTATATTCTTCAAACGTGCCTAACTCTTGGAATTGCTTATCGTGTCATTCCCTCGCTTCATGTTCAATTATCTAACGAAAATTCGAATTTCTAGCGAATGCTCCTGCCTCGGTGTACACAGTTGGAGGCAGCAGCGTGATTCAATCTAACGATGGGACGAGAATCGTGCAGTCTGGTCGCACCTCGGACGGGAAGCCGTACGTTCGCGAGAGCACGGACAGAATCGTGGGCGATACTCTTCGACACGTTGAAAGAATTTACGATCCCACTACGAATTCCACGAAGGTGCACGGCTACACGTTGGATTTGAAGGATCCGAATGCTAAACCTGTTCCAATAAACGAGGCCTCTTAGGTGAGCCGAGAGATCGGCCACTGAAAAATAGGAAAAGAAAAAAAAAAAAAAAGAGATCGACAGACACGCATTCTTCCAATAAAACACATCGATTATGAATTCTGACACTGTCTGGTTTGGGACAATTGTTCAGATGATTGAATAATTTTATTTCGCCAACGACAACACAACAAGCAAGTCTTTCGAAACTTTACTGCGCGTTGAATTTTCATGAGACCCAATTGCAACGTTGCCGCGATGTGGTTGACGTGAAAATTTTTGCAGCGAGAGAGAGAGAAAGAGAGAGAAAGGGAGAGAGAGAGAGAGAGCCATTCGACACGAAAAGTATGTTGCTCGAGTGGTGTAAACGTTTCGCGAATATGCGTGTCAAAGTGGCGCCGAGTGAAACGGGAGATCGCACGCGGGGTGCCTTAAATGGAAATGCCCCTGGCTTGTCCTCGATCTCTCGCGTTCCTCTCGCCTTCTCTTTCAATTCTCGTTTCTCTCTCTCTCTCTCTCCCCCTCCGACGATCCGTTTCGTCATATTCTGACCTTTCCCGTTTCACCCTTTTCCTTCGTAATTATCTCTCTCCCTCTCTTTATACAGAGAATTTATATATTTTTTTTGTTTGATTCTATCATGTTTTAAATTCTATGAACTGACAGTGTATTAGATTTGTACTGTGCAATAGTCCAGTATCAGAAGTAAAGAAAAGATATTCAGTAAATTCTCGATTACTTTATATATATATATTTTATAATATATTATAATATTTACATTTATAATATATATATATATATATAAATATATATTAAGTGAGTAATAGATCTTTATTTATAATGGCTTGTTTTTAATGAGATATTATTTATAATATTATAATATTAAAAATTTATTATATTTGTACTGTGCAATAGTCCAGTATCAAAAGTAAAAAAAAAATATTCAGTAAATTTTCGCGATTACTTTATATATATATATTTTATAATATATTATATACACATATATATTATATACATATATAATAAATACATATAGAATAATCTGATCTTTATTTATAATGGCTTGTCTTTAATGAGATACTATTTATAATATTATAATATTAAAAATTTAAAAATATTTAAATTCTATGAACTTACAGTGTATTAGATTTATACTGTGCAATAGTCCGGTATCAGAAGTAAAGAAAAGATATTCAGTAAATTCTTGCGACTACTTTATATATATATATATATATATATATATATATATATATATATATATATATATATATATTTTATAACATAATATTTGCTTTTATAATATATATCTACATATGTATTAAGTGTGTAATAGATCTTTACTTATAATGGCTTGTCTTTAATGAGATATTATTTATACCATTATAATATTATCATGAACAATGGCTAAAACAACAGCTTCATAGATATCGATTAAATTGAGCAATGGTATTATAAATAAAGCTACATTGAATTTAGATTAATTTAGATATTAATTAATTACACATACATGCCCAATTCTGTCATAATAGTCACTTAGCCCAATATTAAACAAAGTAATTAACAATTAAAAATTAACATGTCGTATTAACGCAACGTTAATCCTTAATGAGTTCAAGGATCAGTTACCAGATTAACAAAGATCGTGTCGGTACGTACCATTGCTTTGCAGTGATCGATACTGATCGATGAGAATTATCCACAGCGCAAACAACACCACACGCCTTGACTTCTGCAAACGAAAGACACAAATGTACGGCTGGTTGCATGTTCAGGAAACATGTACGTGTATATAAGCGGGAGTTCTCCATTTGTTTCGATTGTTTCATTCATTCTTTAACACGGGTCGTCTAACGTTCTGACTTACGATTAATTTTGGTCAACGTAGTTACCTGGAGATGCAGGTCCAAAGGGAACTAGTGCAATCAGTGTTCCTTCTGTTTGTGTTCTGCACGTTGTCACTTGCTCGACATCTCACCTATAACAAGAACACAACAGGTAAGTTACGTTTGTACGTTTTTGCGTGAAGATGGTGCTTCGTTTGGTGACATTTTGTTTTTTTTTTAATTTATTACCCGGGAAACGGAATTAAACCGTTATTCGAATATGCTAATCCTCTTCTTACGTCTCGTTTCATTTCTGACAGAAATAAATTACTTTTACTACCGAAATTAGATCACTAAAAGCAATCATTTACAATATTTTACCACTGTGAAATGTAACGTACTACAAATCCAATTGAAATTTCTCTTCATCGAGATTTAATTTTGTGAATCTTTCGGAAAGACAGTCCGACTGTGACAAATGCAGATACTTGTCTCTAACAAAGAATTGATGGTGTGTTGATTGACAAACGAAGAAATTCACTACAGACGCTTGTCTGTTCGCGAGAAATATATCTTTCATTTCATTTCCGAACGGATGTAATAGAGAGGCGCTTATCTACGCTGGACATCCTCTAGACGCTATCGTTGATTATTCGTTCTGTCATTGACAGATTCTACAGAGCACATCTATCACGGAACAGCCTCTTCAATCGAAACGGTACACGCAAGTGCATCAACATCCGCAGTCGAGTCGTAAGATAACTGTACATCGTTAAGCAAAAGAAAATTTGCATTTAGGTAACGCAGCCTTCGAAGTGTGTCGGATTAAACAATGAAGCGGGATCCTGCGAGTATTTGAGACGATGCCTTTCTCAGCAGTACGATTCAAATTTCACGCTTGCCATAGATCACTTGTGCACGATCGATAACACGTAAGCACGCATTCCGTCCTTTTCTCTTCGTAAAGGTTTCACTGGTTAACTGAATCGAACCGAAACAGGTACATAGGCGTTTGTTGCTCGAAACGTGAGAGCGAAATGGATAAAAAATCTACCAAGGGCAGGAGTTTTGCTGAAATTCTTCCGTTGATCGTCGGTACGTACCAGCAATTGACTGGTTATATCTAGAAATATTTTACAGCGACTTCAAGGACGAATATCATCGACAAGCAAATTTTAAATAACATAAACAATAATAATATTACATCATAGCATTTTTGGCTTCAACTCAAAGTAATATTTAACTAAACAATCAGGTTACATGCAAGTTTCAACAATTAAAGAAATAATGGCATATAAATATTGAAACAGAATAGTTGAAAGTTATTTATAATTTTATATCAAAATTTAATTTCAATTCTAACCAGTACAAATATTATAAACCTTGTAATCTAACTTATTATTATTTATTTATTTATTGCAATCCTTGCCTGTCCCGGCTTAGTATGGTAATAATATGATATTGTATTAGTACACAACGATTATAGATAATAGTACAAAATGGACACTTTCATCGGAACATAATATTTTATAAAATACAGATAATAGTATAAAATGGACACTTTTATCGGAACATAATATTTTATAAAGTATAGATAATAGTATAAAATGGACACGATTGTAGATAATAGTATAAAATGGACACTTTTATCGGAACATGAAATTTTATTAAAAATTAAATATCCTGTCTCACAGGCATGACGCGTGTATAAATTTATAAATTTATAAATTTCGCGTGGCAGTCAACCTGTGTTTAAGTAAAGAAGAACGGGTCGATAACGATTCAATCGGCTTGTATGTACAATCTCGTTGTAAGCTGCACATTTCGTTTTAGCGAACGACGATGGAAAACAAAACGAGACGATCTTCCGTAATATGAGCAGAATCGTTTGGTCGGCGGGCCACGACTCGACAACGTCTCGACCTCGAAATCCAGTACTCAGAGGATGCGGAATAACGTTGAAGAGTCGAAGGAGATTAGTGGGCGGTAGACCGGCCGATCCTACCGAATGGCCCTGGATGGTTGCTGTTCTTAGAGGAGATCGAATTCAGTACTGTGGCGGGGTTCTTATCACCGACAGACACGTTTTAACTGCTGCTCACTGCGTTTACACGTAAATTTTTGCTCGATAGATTAAAAACTTTGGCAACCAATGTGTTTGGTGCATATAGTTGAAACATAAACGAGGATGACAATGTGACGAGGTGAGGATAGGGTTATTGAAGACAGTCGAACTTGAACGTTTTAACATTCAAACAGGACAATGAAACTTATTTTGTACTAGGAAGCATTATTGATAAAAAAAAAAAAATAAATATCGTGTTTTAGGTACAACGGCAGAAAAAACAGATGTTAAACAGAAGAACATAACTCAAATATATTGGGTATAATGGTGAAAAGGGCTACTCTATTTGCACCTCTATTTACCCTTCTTTTCTAATGAAAATCAAAACTAATGATCGATGAACAACTTGTTAGATAGTACACAATAAACAGACAGAAATTTCTTTTCTACCGTGCCATAATGTTAATTCCAAGTAACGTTTGTTAGATTGAAACCACGGGAGATCAAAGTCAGACTCGGTGAATACGATTTCGAGGAGTCGGAGGAGACAAGGGCCCTGGACTTCACCATCACCGAAATACGCGTGCACCGCGACTACGATCTCACCACGTACGAGAACGACATAGCGATACTGAAAATGTACCGACCTACCATCTTCGACAGTTACATCTGGCCAGTGTGCCTGCCACCGATCGGCCAAACGTTCGAGCACAAGGACGCGATTGTAACAGGTTGGTAATCGTTTCTGTCCCACCGATGGAAGAGACGCACAGTAAGAAAGTAACGAAAGACAGAGAGAAACGACGAGAAATGTCAAAGGAAGCTGGCGAAAATTCGATAAAATCGGTCGAAAATTTAGGCTGGGGTACACAATATTACGGAGGTCCTGCCAGTACGATTCTGATGGAGGTCGGGGTTCCAGTCTGGCCGCAAAACAAATGCGCAAACAGTTACGTCCAACGAATTCCGAACACGGTGATGTGCGCCGGCGTCTACGAAGGCGGAGCTGATGCTTGTCAGGTGCGTAACGTAGACCTCGTTGATCCTATCAGAGAGAAAATTCGAATTCTCCGATCGGTGATCCTCTGGCGTTTGCGTGTAGGGCGACTCTGGCGGACCGCTGTTACATCAACTGGCGAACGGCAGATGGGTGAGCATCGGTATAGTGTCTTGGGGGATTCGATGCGGAGACCGTGGACGACCTGGAATATACACGCGTGTGAATTCGTATCTCGACTGGATACTCGAGAACGTCGTATTCTGAGCTTATTATGATTTACCTTGGCTAACAAGCTTGAACAAATGTGAAAAATTGTCATGATAATAGAATAAAGATAAACTTCAACCAGCTCGATTGCAATATAAATTAGCAACGAAATTCAATTTCATTTCCAACAAAAATAACGTGACATTTGTAAGAGAATTTTTAATAAGATTTCTAAATAGAGAATTGTTAACAAAATTGCTGTTGTCCAGTCCCGTGTTCTTGGGTTGGATCAGATATCCTAATACACTACTGTACTGTCACCCTTGCGATTATTTAAATTAACAACGAAATTAAATTTCGTTTCCAACAAAAATAAAGTGACATTTATAAGAGAATTTTTAATAAGATTTCTAAGTAGAGAATTGTTAATAAAATTGACAATTTGATGACGAATTAAAGGCTGGAAAAGGATTTCTGAACTTTAAGTATATTCGGCACTTGCTGTTGTCCAGTTCCGTGCTCTTGGGTTGGATGAGATATCCTAATACAGTACTGTCATCCTTGCGATTATTTAAATTAGCAACATTAACAATATAAATTAGCAACGAAATTCAATTTCGTTTCCAACAAAAATAACGTGACATTTGTAAGAGAATTTTTAATAAGATTTCTAAGTAGAGAATTGTTAATAAAATTGACAATTTGATGACGAATTAAAGGCTGGAAAAGGATTTCTGAACTTCAAGTATATTCGGCACTTGCTGTTGTCCAGTTCCGTGCTCTTGGGTTGGATCAGATATCCTAATACAGTACTGTCACCCTTGCGATTATTTGCCTAAATATTTGTCTACCTCCTAAAGAAGGTATTGTCCTAGATATTTACTTATTTGGACAATGTTACTACGGTGAAATTGATGGTGAATTGATTTATTGTCCTAGATATTTACTTATTTGGACAATGTTACTACAGTGAAATTGATTTATTGTCCTAGATATTTACTTATTTGGACAATATTACTACGGTGAAATTGATGGTTACCGTCTCTATGGTCAAACGAATCACTCATCTCACTTCTTTGTCATCCTCTCTGGGGATCTGTGGATGATAGCTTTGCTTTACCTGAAACCGGACGTAAAATAGTGAGTGACCGCTGAGAAAGCTGAGGCAAGAGACATAAATTTGAAAGCTGCGTGACGTCCAACACGGTCAGCAAACGACCATTGTGGATTCAAGTCTTCTTATCGAGATACGAAGCTCTGTCGCGTTGCATGCCGCTTTCTTCTTCTTTTGTCTTTCCGCGTGCGAAACGATAAGAAAAATAATATTCCAAACAGGTATTTTTTTTTTTTTTTGACAATAACGTGTCTCACACACACACACACACAGTTGGTACAATGTAAAAAATCGATACAAAAAGAAAATCATAGGCGCAACCTTTTCCAATTAGCGAGAAATTCTTCTAGGTCAGGTGATGCAGGTCTCACGTCCATTGTGGAAAAAAAGGTGAGAGTGGAAGAAGAGAAGACAATCAGATGATGAGGAAATAATTGCAGATGGCGGATCTTCACAGAATCCTCTCCAAAATTGAGATGAAATATTTCGATGGAATAGCTGGAGATGATGAATCTTCGCGAAATCGTCATCAAAGCAGAAGATGCTACTAATACAAGCTGCTACGAAATAAACGTTTTCTTGTGAGTGAGAAGAAATAAACTTCAAGAAAGAAAAAAAAAAAACGGAAATTACCTTTGTAACGTTGTCGAAATATGATCAAATATCTTGTTGCCATTGCGATCGCGAACGTTTGATGCAGACAAGTCGGTACTGTTGTGCGTGGAAACGAAGAAACTTTATTTTCCGAATATCGATTGTTACATCGTTCAAAAAGAGATTGACACGAAATAGAGAGAAATTCGATTCTTAGGACACGTTGTGGCGCTCGTCGCGCTAGACCGCAGGCTTTTATACTTTCTTTTGTCGCGTTTGGCCGCGCATAATCGAACAGCAACGCGCGTGCACGAGCGCTACGCGATCGATTTATGACGCACGGCGAAATAAACGTTCGAAGATTCCACGACTGAATCTTCCATCGTTTGATAAACGATGACTTTCGAACGAGGTCCAGCCTCTTCTCTTTTTTTTTTCTTTTTTTTTTCTTTATGTACACCGATATATAACTTCAACTCTTCATAAATGTATATGTTTGTGTGTGTGTGGGTATGTGTGTATGTGTGTGTGTGTACGTATATATATATATAGATTTATGTGTGAAAATCTACACACACAGAGCGTCACGCCTAAAACAGATCACCTAATTGCCCTCGATGTTTTCCAACCACATGAAGTCATATCCGCATAACCATAAGCATCGAGACATCTGGTATTTGATTGAAATTGTGTGCTCATCGTCTTCACTTGTTTCATTCGCATGAGATAACATTTATTTATCTCGAGTAGATTGCGAATTTCTTCACATCTTTGGAAAGCCAATGAGTATACGCAGACATCTGTTTCATCCACTGAAATATCCTTTTCTATGTTTAACTCGGCATAGTTGTATAAAAATCCGCAATCTGCTCGAGACAATCTCTCAATAAACATAACGAGTAGATACCTATCTCAAGACTTATGGCCGAATGCTATGCAAAGTACTCTGAATTTATTCCCTCGGATCTCGCAGTGCAATTTTCTCCGAACTTTTGCCAACGGGAATGAATAATTCTTCGAGGAATCTGAGACGACGACTAGGTGGCCCTTTTCAAGTTGATCGCGCTGTGCATGTGTGCGTGTGTATATATATATATATACATATACGTTCGTTTTCATCAAACATAGAAACGTGTGCGCGTAAAATTTCCATCCTCGACAAACGTAACAGTATCGTTTCCATTGTTTCCTCGTTCTTTCTCCATTATTTTCTGCTCTAATCGCTCATCCATTTGAAATTCAAGCGTGACATTTCTATTGCGGCGGGACGTGCTTCGATCGAGCCGACGACATATCAACAGCAATATACGTACTAACGCTGAAAGAGAAACGCGGAAGACAAAGTGTTCGAACGACTTTTTTTTTTTTTTCTAACATTCAAAGCTAGTCGCAATTACTCTCCTTTAAATAAGGTCGCTCTCCAGTTAATCTCGAAGATTCACGATCACTCTCGTTTCCCCCTCTTGCCCATTCTTTCGATCGATCGCTGCGCACGCGCAAAAATAAATAATTCGTCTGGCGAATTTGTGTCTTCTGCCGCCCTTACTTAGGGACTTTAATGGTTCATCTACTGAAAGCGCTGGTCCTTGTAGTGTCGTGGCGTTATTTATCGAGATATGAAACGGATATCTGGTAAAAGAGAAAGGGTGAAGAAGAGGCGAGGGATGATAGGAACAGAGGGAGGGAGGTGAAGACACGAAGTTTCCTTGCATCTAGAGGAACTAGGAGGCTCCCGCTTTTCCATCCCGAGGACAGAGTATATATGTATAGTGTAATAAATGGAAGCGACATAGTGAGGTCGTAAAATCAGGTAGTGAAAGTTCTCAAGTTTCATTGACAGAAGTGTGTGTACTTAGAGTCTCGTTTAGGGTCGAAATCTTTAAAAATAATTTATCTCTTCGAGAAGAGCTGTGCTACGGTAGAACCTCATTCACTCGACTAGGCCAGAAGATAGTTTAGATAATCGAGTTACTTGTCTGATAGCTAATAAGAATTTATTAACACTGGTCACTTGTAAATGAGCTTCATGAGCTTCGCGAATAATACTAATCCTCTAACTAACAATAAATAGTTATTTCTGTTTCACTCGGTTTTTCAGTTTGTAGATACGAAGTTGAAAATTAACTTGTACCTGACATGGTGTCCCGGATTTTTTCCCGCCAAACTGCCAGAGCTTATTCTAGGGGTCAAAAGAAGAAAAAAATGTTACACGAAGTTTGCTTTGTTACAGAGATATAATCAAAAATAGGTACTTCAGTATTTCAGTCATTCCTTTGCTTTGCACGAGCCTGTTTCATAACTCGAAATGAGTGTTGATAAATAAATGTTGATCTTACACTGCTCGACTTTGATTTATAGAGTACTTTGAAACAAAAGGTTTACTCGACCAAAGTCATATGAAGATCTTGTGCAGCGTATTAACAAATACAAGATACCGAGACACTGCATAGAGCAATAAATTTAGTTTTTCATCAATGTCAAGCTTGTACCCGAGCAGAAAGACATCATTTTTAAATGAGACTTTAAAACTAGCTATTGGTAACTATTTATCATTATTTGTTTATATCTCCTTGACAAAAAGAAGTTTGCGTTAACTCGCAAACTTTGTGTAACATTGTTTTCTTCTTTTGGCCCCTGGAGTAAGCTCTCGCAGTTTGCCGGGACGCACCTTGCACAAACGGGAATGCGTATTAACGAGGCTCTGGCTGTAACTCCTTTCAAATTTGTATTCCGAAGCTCGTTGAACTGCTGGGAATCAACTAGGGACGCTGCCCAACCCTTTCGCGCTCTCACTACTGCTTCCATTTACGACACATTCGTCGAGATGCAGCCTGCGTCCCTCCGTCCCTCCGTGTAATAAATAACGATCGTGTTCCCGTAATGTTCGTCTCTTTTTTCTTTCTTTTTACTTCGAGAGGCATTTCCTCTCGAACGTGTGGACCCAAATTTCGGATGACCGGGTGATATCGCCGATCACCGGAGGATGTTTAGCTGCTACTCTACACGAAACGATGATACACGTATTATCGGATGAGCTGGCGACCACTCCGCTCTGGCTGGTAGGATCGCAAATTGCGTGAGAAATTCGCGTGGGGGCAGGGAACCTTAGACTCGCGAGGGTGGTGTCGTCGGCACGAGAAGCGGCGCGTTTGGACCGCTCTCCGTGTGATTCGGCACGCTCTCGCCGGCTTGGTAGGAACGTCGCCCCTGAGAGATCACGTTGCTCGACGCCGAACCGACGGAAGAACGATTACGCGACGGCGAGCCGTCGACGAACGAACCGCTGGCTATCGTACGACCACGGCTCGCCACGCCGTTTCCCGTCGCGAACGTTCCACCACCCCCGTTGTTCCCGCCGCCACCCTCGTCGCCGCCACTTCCGTCGTTGCTACCACCTTTCCGATTCTGCGTCGATCCACCATCGCGTTGGCTCGCTTGTACTTGCTGTCGATACGGCACTACTTGCTGTTGAGTCTTCTGCTGTTGGCTCGGCTGCGAGCGTTGCTGACACTCTTGATGACACTTCGTCTGTCCTCCACGGTGATTCTGATCTTGGCAATTCTGCTGCGACGGTTTTGTCTTTGACTGCGCTACTGGATCCAGCCGGCTCGGCGACAGGCTCGTACGATCGTCGCGCGGAGGTTCGATCGTTGTTGCGATTGGAGTGATCGTTGTCACCGGTTGTTGCACCGTCGACGACGGCGAGCAAGTGCTTGCTTGTTGATTGTTGCTCGCCGATTTCTCGCCGATCAACCAGTACGTGGTCATCGTACCTTTACCCTGAAATTAGAAAGGCAGATTCTTTGTTCAAATTTCTTCAGTGTTCTTTGCTTTCTCTACTTTTGCAAAGTATCGGGAGACCTTACCTTCAGGGTAACCTCGCCTCTGCAAACGAGCTCGAACGTTCCAAAAGTGTCCAGAATTTCTTTCGTCTTCGGGCTGACGTGAATCCTCAACGCTGCAAGTAGATGGTTTAAGCACGTTTATTGTTTGTATTATCGTTGTTTCTCGTTGACTCATCCAAGCAGTGAATTACTGTCCCCAGTGGCCGAAAATTCAGCATTTGGATCATTCGTTGTTAATTTGAACTGTTGATGACTGTTCGCAACTGTTCTCATTTCGGCTACTGGGAACAGTTTTCGTAACAAAAGATTCATCACGTAAGGATTAGGAGATATTTCGATAAAATGATCGGCGTCAGATACCTTCTCCGTTACTCTCCATTCTAGATGCAGTATTGACGGTGTCTCCGAATAAGCAATATCTAGGCATCTTCAAACCAACTACACCAGCCACGCAAGGTCCTGAAATTGCGACTAGTCTTTCGTATCTACGAAATTTGTAATATGCAAGTTGCGGCAACACACACACAGGTTACAAGAAAGCCGTAACATATCGGTTTATGGATACTAATTAATCGTACTACGGTTCTAGAATTCAAGTATCTTGACTCTCGAGTAACCTTAACCAAACCTTAAGTTTCAACAAATAAAAACGAAAGACTTTCAACACTTTGGCGTATAATAACTGCTAACATCGGCGTGTAACTGAATTAATAAAAGCATGCGCATTAATAACGACGATTCATTCATTATTTGCTGAATTTTCAAGTTTTCGGTGTCATATTTTACCAGAATGCATCCCAATTCGAAGTTTCAGTTGTTCGTTCGGTCTGTGACGTATGCTAAATGTCATTACGGTATCTCTTAATGCTAAGCTCATTCTCGCAATTTCCCTGGCATGATTCGTTCCATTTCTCACCGGTAATCCTGACACAACCATGTAAGCGTCGCCTATTGTTTCCACCTGGGAAGAAACATGAAACGAATTTTCACGGAACGGCTGGCAACAATACACACTCGTATACAATGATAATTGAATGATTTTTCTTCGTTCTTTCTTCAGAAAAATCTATTATATAAATATTAAAATGTTAAATTTGATATTAAAATATTGGAATATTAATTATATTAAATAAATATTATCAATAATATTATTATTAATATTATTTATACTATATAATATTTATATAATATTGATTAATAATATTATATTAAATAAATATTATTAATAATATTAATATTTATACAATCTAATATTTATATAACATTAATTAATAATATTATATTAAATAAATATCAATATTAAAATAAACATCGTTTATATAAATATTAATACGCTGACTGCCACGTTAGATTCACACGATATTGTCAGAGGGCCACAAAAGAATTTTCATTGTTCTAACTTTCGTGATACAACATATAATATTTTAATTAAAATTTTTAATCGTTGAACAGTGAATTCTCCTCTAGCTGTGACGTTCAAATAACGTTTTAGTTGACGATATTCATTTTATTTTGGCTCCATCGAGCCAACGTGGCAGTCAACATTAAAGTCATGTTAAAGAGAAGTTAAAGAAAGTGTCAACAAGAAAAATTTTCGATAATCACGGATGACGGACGTGGATGAACAATTAATCAATGAATAATATACTCTATCAGTGTTTTGGCAATCAAGATTCTATTGTACTAGAAAGTTGTTGTCACTTTACTTTGTAAACGTCAAAGTTCTCGATGATGGAGTCGAAACAGGTATACAGATCGTTGAGTAAGTCCACCACTTGAAGAGGCGTACTCTCGGCCGAGAGCTTCGTAAATCCTACGATATCGCTAAAGTAGATCGTCACCTGATCGTACGTTTCGGCTATCACGCTTTGGCCGAGTATCAACTGGGACGCGACAGATCTGAAAGTTTCGTTTAAATTCCATCTGAGTGAGTATATCGTGCATGGAAGCGACGCAACGTTATTGTCGAAGCGATGGACAAGCACAGGGTTAAAAGTGTGGCCAATTGCTCTGCGACAATAACTGAGCAATACCTCTTACTTTGATTACTCTGCTTACTTTGGTAACAATTGGTACAGCAGTTCCTCGCATTTACGTTTCTCCTCGAAGTAATCCGCGGTACGTTCCTCCACGAGAGTCTCCAAGTTCGTTGCGTATTGCTCCATACGAGAGAGCAAATTGTCGAGGATGTTACTGCTCTCGTAATCTCTGAAACCGGAGAGAATTCTTTCTCGACTCGTCGTTCCAGAAAACGCTCTTGCTGTTTTTTCGAACGGACAGCAAAATCATTTTCCAGTAATTCGTCCATTTTTTTTTTTTTTTTTGCAAAACAGACGTTGCAGGTATTAACTTTGAAGCGACAGAGTAGATGATTTGCCAAATTCAATTTTTTTAGGCTATTTAATTTTGAAGACAAGTCACAGTGGAACTTTATTTGAATTAAATTACCGATTAAATGGTTGGGTTCGTAATTGCTACGAGAAATCGGTAATAGAAAGAAGTGTTGATGAACTTCAACTATATAAAACTATTCATCTTCCGGAGTTTTACTGTGTTTGGCTCGTGCGATTCTTATTCATATATTAGAATGGAAGAATTTATTACATTTTCTGTAAATCAGATTGCAAATATTTCATCAGAATACATCATCGGTGGAAAAGAGGGACGAATAATCTCGGAATGTGGCAAATGTCACATCTCTGTTCAAGACTCAATTATTAAATAACATAACAATATAAACGAATAAATATTCTCAATTGTAATTATCATAATTCAGCCGCGTGCGTATGTCAATATTCTGTCATATTTTCTAAAAGCTTGTTTGAAATTGGCCCTTATGTAATACCTTCTCGTTAACTCAGAGTCATTCTATTCATTACCTCGTCTTTGATATCTTTCTCTTTCAAATCGAACGCAAAGCACACGATACTTTCTTCTTCCTTCATTATCATATTAAAGACTATAACTCGGTTACACCGTTTGCAAAGTTCCATTTGAAAATGTTTCAAACTCCTCTCAAGCCAAGTTGAAGAATAATGCTGATCGTTTTTTAAAATAATATCAGGCCCTCGTCGAAAGAGGAAAGCTCGCGGCCAATTGTGGCCCGCTGACGTGTTTCTATTAAGAATCTTTTCTATATGAATTCGCAAACATCTCGAGAGGGAGGCCATCGCTACGGACTTTAGCGAGAGCTGACAACTACGTCAATATTGGAAGAGTGGCTGCCGAGGGTGAGAAAAATGAGGAAGGAAAGTACAACGCCGCGGCTCGCAAGTATTAAAACACTCGGGGGGGGAAACAAAGTAAATTTGATAAATTATTCGGTAAACTTCTTGGTTAATATCTTTAAAAATTACTGCCTCGTAATTTAAAATCTATATAATTTTAGACGCACGAGTTATTAAACTGTAGGACACTCCACACTGTTAGAACAAATATACGTATAATTCTTTGTGAACTCAGTACAAGAATAGTTATTAGTTTCTTTCAATTTTTCGAACGTTACGTCTTGCGTAAATGAAACAAAATGTTTCTAAGTGAAATTTTACAAGTGAATACTCAGTCAGTTTAAAAGGGGGATAAAAAAAAAATCCTTTCTCTATTATCGTATTAAATGTGAAGCATGAAATAATACATTGACAGTAAAAACATAATCGTAATGTCAAACAAAATTTATTTCTTCTGTTTCTTGCCTGTTAGAAAATCAATTGGAGCCCGTTAATGTGTTAATAGATACAACAACAAGTTTGACAATGAAAGAGATGAAACATCACGAGCAAATGCCATTAATTACATTAATTACGTCGTTTGATCATTCTATTTGATTTAAAATTACGGGATGGTAAAGAGACAACCGATGATTTGTAACTCGCGAAATTAACTGCAATGTCATTACGTAGTCAAGAAGGGTTTTTAATACTTATAAGGGTGTATATAACAGCAGTGGGGAAAAAAGGAAGTTGCTCCGAACTTTTTACTTCCCTTTCTCGCTGCTTTTATTTCTTCCTCAGTTCTTCCGTTTGACGACTTTACCATCCGCGATTACACTTGGACCGAGTTCTCTTTTTCAAAAAAAAAGAAAAAAAAAAAACACAGCTATCAAAGGAACGTTTTCTTATCAACGTAGTCACTCACTTGTTAATTTTCCGTATAGTTTGTTTGAGCGCGGGGAAGTCGGGTCTGTCGGCGGCATCTTGAGCCCAACATCGCCTCATTAACGTAGCGACCTGCACAAAATGGTCGCGAAATTTCTGGTGAGTTTAACATTACAATTACCGACGGCTAAAGTATCAAAGAGTATTAATTCGTCAAGGATCAGCGATATATTTTATATAAATGTTTTATACTATTATACTAATTTTATATTAATATTTTATGTTAATGTTCTTTCCGATTTAACTAAACTTTATATTTTCACTACATTAACTTTATACTTTTATTATATCTATATTTTATATATTTATTATTCATTTCATTCATTATTTCTCGACATAAATATTAACATTCAATTCATATTTATACATTTTTCAACGTGAAGATAAATTCCATAAATATTTAGATGGTCGACATTTCTGTTCTTCTCGCTGCGTCTTTACCTAAACGCGACAATTTCACGAGATTTAAAGAAATTTCGAGGATATTTACAGCATTAAGATAAATCATCGCCTGACCCTTTTGACGCAGAAAATTCGTAACAGAATAAAAAGCACATTTATTTATGTATTCTACGAGAAATCAATCGAATCACCAGAAACGCAGCGTTATGAATCTACTTGTCGAGATAATAAAATAAAAAAATGTTTCGAATAATAAAGCAATCGTACGATAAATCGTACGCGAGATTTCAACAAGTTAACAAAAGCGTGAATATGCTGGAATATTCTAGTGTTAAGTGACGAGAAGCTTACTTCTTCCTCGACGGCGGACTCGTCGATCGCAGGCCTCAACGGCGAACCTCCGCCTCTTTTCACTCCCTCCACGATTTCTGGAACAAAGGAAGAGACAAGCTCGCGACGCGACACGATCCGAAACTTCAATTTATATATTCGATTTCTGCACGGACACATTGATTCAACCGTCTCGTTTTCGTTTATACACGTATCACGACAAATTTATGTGAACATTGTAAAATCAGTCAAAAATTTCTATAACGTTTTCACGTGTAAATTTTGATCGATACGACAATTTGGCGACACGAATGTTTACGTAGATTCAGTGAAAGTTGCAATTAATAATCTTGTTCGACAATTGGATGGACACGAAATCAAATTTATAAATTTTACCCTCGGTAAAGAATCGACAGAAATGGGCTAGAAATTTATTTCAATTATCTGTAACGTGGTACATTTGAAATAAATATTAACAAAGAGCTGAAATTAATATTCTTAATTAATATTACTGTAATAACTCCGCGGCCAAATTTAGTGAAATGACAATTTTGATATTGTGTGACAAGTATTCAAATACTTTTTTCAATCACTATGTAGTATGTGCAAGAAATCAAGTACTTAAAATAGTGACACAGTGTGTTATATTATATCATCGTGTCGGTTCGATCGCTGTTCTCACTACTTAACCGCTCGTTACAGTGAAACAAGCCGTGCTTGGTCGAACGCGATTCACGCGTCGCCACAGTCAGAATCACTTTTCGTGTATAGTACTCCCGTATAACGCGAGTTCCCATAACGCGCCAAAGATATTGCAACTACTGCTTTCATACAACGTGCCGATGAATTAAAAATGAAATTTCCTCTAGTCGCTAGAGCGTTACATTATTTTAACATTGCAATTCTAATTGCATGATAAATTTGTCCGATTGCTTCTTTTGTTAAATTTCTATGAAATGAAAAGGACTTTGTATAGATTACGTATATTTCTTGTTTACATACTTTAAAATGTTAAAAATGACACACATATACCACTCACTCATTAGTATGTGTGTGTGTGTGTGTTTTGAATCAATAGAATGTGGAAGAAAAAAAGAAATGGTCACTTTTTAACATGATCGGGACCCAAAGCATATAGTGAAAAAACGTTCAAAAGTATAGTTGGAGGCACGAAAATTTTCTGCATTAGAGTGGCTAGCACAAAACCTCGATCTCAATTCCATTGAGAATTTATGGGCATTCTTAAAACAAAAAATGCAAACTTCGTATGAAGCTACACCATCATCGAAATTACACAACTCCAGCAAAGAGTCGAGGAGAAATGGATTTTTGTCAACACCTTGTAGAAAGCATGCCGAGATATAGCTTGTCTAGCCAAGGCAAGGAAGCTATTGGTAACGTCACAAAAGCAAAAAGCTCATAGATCAAATGCTAGTAAATTGTTAAAGCAGAAAAAAATTTGTCGTTAAAATAACAGTGCAAAATTGTAACGATGTATTTTTTTTCACAGATAAAGCAGCTTAGAAAAATTATTTCTGTTGCTGTTAATTGTGCAAAATACACTTGTAACTTTTATTGTAAATCAGAATAAAAAATTTAGGTATACAGTTACGCTCTTCACTATATGCTATATATTTAAAAAAATATATTATATATTTATATAAAATATATATATATATGTTTATATATAAAAATATATTATATATTTATATAATGCTACATATTTCAAAAAAAAAAATATATATATATATTTATATATAAAAATATATTATATATTTATATAAAATATATATGTGTTCATATATAAAAATATATTACATATTTATATAAAATATATATGTTTATATATAAAAATATATTATACATTTATATATAATGCTACATATTTAAAAAATATATATATATATATTTATATATAAAAATATATTATATATTTAAAAAATAAATCTGTCCTATTTGATGAAACATAGACAACAATCATTCAATCCAATCATGTTATTTTATATTTTATATTTTATCGTGAGACTACACAAAGTCTCACGACTTCCCACGAAATGCGAATTCATACAACCGTATGAACCCCGTTATACGGAAGTCTACCAAAGAAACAAACAAATATTAGTAACGCACGAGGCGAGTCAGGATAGATTCGAGAAGCGAAACGAGTCGAATCGAAGAGGGAAGACCGTAAGAATCTTCTTCAACGGAAGACGGTGGATAGGTGACAGGTGAATGATAAATATGCAACCTACTGTGTCGGTACAAATCCTCCAAGAAGGCGTTGCAAGTTTCGCAGTTGAGGGTGCAGTGGGGCCTACGGACTTCGAGCAAGGGACTGACGGCCCTTCGAGGGCTGGCCCCACCGTCGGGACTGGCGCCAGGCATCGCCGGCAACGTTAAACTACTTGTGCTCGACGTGTTGCTTCTGTCCGCCATCTCTTCCTCTTTCTTTCTCTATCTTTTCCCTGTATTTCTTAACCAACGACCCAATCGAATTTACCATTTTTCTCTCTCATACTCTCTCTTTCTCTGACACTCATTTACACTTCTCTCTCTTTCATTCACGCGATTACACACGCGTTTTCCGCGACAGTTGTCGTTCAATCGGCGTGAAATATTCGAACGTCAGATTAAATGCGACTGCAATTTGCAGATCGTCGTTATTATTATGATCTTCCGGGGGGATGATTGATCGCATTTAATATCGCGTTTAATATCCGCGGTGAAAAGCGCGACCGAACGAACGAGGGTGAAAAAAGATTGTCGATACTTTGAAACTGTTATGACTTTGTAAAGAAAAAAAGTATCATATATTAATCCAATTCAATTTCAACTTAAATGGCGAAGCTTTCACCTCGCTTCCATCCCGGCTTGTTCTCTTCTTCTCTTTTCTTTTCGAGAATATTTTACATCCAGTGTAACAGGTGGAAATTGCCAGGTACACTTTTATTCTCGATTTACGGTAAAAGTTCGAACGTCTGTAGAATTTTACGGAGAAAAATTCTAATTAGATTCCATCCTCGATTCGAAAGATCGAAGTCTTAATCTTTGCAACTTGATCTCTTGAAACTTGCTGTACAATTTTCTTTCTCACCATTTTATCGGATTTTGAATGTTACAACTAAACGATCAAGTTCAAGAAGATCCTAACGTTTTCTTTTTTTTTTTTTTTTTTACTTTACCAATGTTCAAAGTTCGATGAAACGATGAAAGATTTGACAGCAGATTTTAAGATTGTACAAGGAAAATTTCCACCTTCGAGCTCGTTGTACAAAAAAATTTCTCAATGTTCTCAGACGTTTTCTAACGTTCGAAGTTTCACGATCTTCGAGAAAGAAAATTACTTTACTTTTTTCACTTGTTACGCAATATAAAAAACTTTCTTTTTGTTTTAAAAACAGCAACTCAGAACTGTCAAAGTGGACTTTATGAACCCCATAAATAAATTGTTACACGAAATTACAATAGTTCAAAGTATCGACAATTTTTCATCGTTCACTGTACGTACATACAATTAATAAATTTTCGACGTGATAGAAAAACGAAAGAACGATTTTTGAACAGCTCGGTTGTTCGCGAATTCTGCTCGTCACAAAGAGTGAATTGTCATTGTTCTCGGTCTTGTATATAAAATTTTAACGGTGACAAAGAACGATTCTTGAATTACAAACGTATTCTGATTGCGTACGGTATTGTGTGACGAATCACATGAAATTTCTATGGTGACACAGAGAGTGAAAGAACAGACGGTTATTTTTATTTTGCCTCTGGAATAAACGAAAGAATCCTCTCGTTTTCTACAATTTCAACTTTTTACTCTTCAACCAGCTGACATCGAGTTACGCATTTTTTCACTTACGAGAAGTGCTTCTTTCCCCGACTAGACTGTATCTTCTGTCCCCCTTCGAACGTTACGTTCCCGAGAAATTGAAATTTCATTTAATCATCCCTTATCCAGTTACAGATGGTAGAAAGCTAATTATTGTCTTTCTAAAAGCTGTTTCTGCTTCAACAGATCGCATTTCTCGTTTCCCGAAAACTTTACTTATTTCGTTGCTTTTCGATTACATCTCTTTTTCAATCACATTCAAGTATTACGTTCTCAAAAAAAAAAAAAGAAAAAAAAAAATAATGGAAATTTCATCATTCTCACGACCATGATCGGTCACCACCGATAGAAACCGTAGATTCGAGTTATCCCCCCTTAATTATTAACGAGAGTTGTTCTCTTATCCATCGGCTGGAACATGTTTCCGGATGTTGCGTGCTCTCACGAAAAAAATTGAAAACTTCCGGCGAGACGAAGGAGCCCAAACGCGTCGCGTAGTATCGTTATTTACAAGAACCGAGAGCGAGCAGCCAGCAAATCGTTCTCCCCGCTTATGCAACGCTCTCTCACTCTCTCTCTCTCTCTCTCTCTCTCTCTCTCTCTGTTTATATTGACTTTTCGACGACGTTATCTCTCATTCGCGAGAGAAGTCCGACGAATGCGAACATCTCAGCCTCGTCCACGTAATCGCGACCGTGCCCGCGACCAAAAATTTTATTCGATTTTTCGCTCCGGAAACCGATTCATCACCTCCTTCCTCCCCCCGCGATCGTAACTCGCCATCCATGAATAAGAAACGAGCAGTTTCGCGAACGATCGGGGCTTCGAAGTTTTCGTCCCAGTATGAAATAATCGATCAATCGGATGCGAAATCAGGGTAATTGGCTTCGAAAGAAAGAAGAAAAAAAAAAGAAAAAAGAAAAAGAAAAGAGTGGCGGAGAATAAAAGGGGACGACAGGACTCAAATAAAGAGAGAGAGAGCAAGGAAGAGAGGGAAAAGAAGGGAGAAAGAGCGAGGAAGGGAAACAGAGAGGTGGGAGAGGGTTGGAGAGGGTTGAAAAGGCGACGTTGGTGGGAAGAGGAGGTGGGAAGGGGAGGGGGCGACGAGTTAGATGGCGGAGAAGGAGGAGGAGGAGGAGGGGGGAGGTGGTTGAATATCGAGCAAAAAGGAAAATCGGGCCGCGTAAATGGAACGGTCAAACGATTGGTAAACACAAGCACGTACCGAGTTAGACGCAGGCATGCAGGCATGCAGGCATGTAGGCACGCAGCCACACAACACAGACACGCAAACAATCGGGACACGCAGCACGCATGATGGCACGCGCGCACATACACGCACGTTTCTCGATCTCTCTCTCGCCGAGAAGGGTTAATTAAACGGGGTGGTGGGACCGGCGAAACCGAGTCCTAGCCGCGTTTCGCGTACCGGAGATCGCCTCACGATTGCTGTGATGTCGCTGGCTATTGCCCAACGTCGATTTCACGTGTTGTCACTCACCCAATGTCTCTCCCCCGGTGTCGTACGGGATACGAGTACGACGAAAGGAAAAGAAAAAAAAGAAAGAAAGGAAAACAAAGGTCGAGAAGAGAGAGAGAGAGAGAAAGAGAGAACGCTAGAACGAACGAACGAACGAAAGAAGAGGAGAGGAAGACGAGGAAGCGCTCGTGCGGAAACCCGTGTACGTTCCAGGACGCGTGAAAGCTTCGACTGAGCTTTCAACCCCGGTCTCGAAACGTTCCCAGCCTACTTGTGGCACGTTCCATCCTTTCATCGATCCTGCACGCTCGCGACGAAACCGAGCTTGCGAAAGCTCGTAAACTTCGTTACCGATCGATCCGGGGGCACCGCCGCGCCGTTAACTCGCCCGCCAGTCCGCCACGACTCGATTCTCCTACGAGCTCTATCGTCGTTTTCGTCGGCCCTCGCGTACCAACCATGCACAACCGGGGCATCACCGTCGATACGAATCACTCTTCGCTGTTCTCTACCGGCGGTGACGAAACTCCCTTACCGGTTGGTCGGTCGTCCGCGTTGATCGATTTATGGCAAAGACGACGGCGTTCAAATATTTTTCCCTGAACAACACACGCGTGATGAAATGAATTAAGGTAAGGGTTTTTTTCTTTTTTTTAAACCTTGTGACCGGTTGAACAAATCACGATATAGATCGCGACTACTTTAGAACATTTTGTTACCTAAATAGTCGAAAAGATTCGACACGTGTCGCTTCACACGAATTTCTCCGTCCCGTGGCTCGTGAAATGTGTGACACGATTGGTGGTTGACAGAAACGTGCACGAGGGCACTTACCCTTTGGGGAAATGTCGCAGTCGTCGCCTAAGTAAAACGGTCCTCGACGTACCACGATCTCGTGAACGATTATGGCGAAGCTGTACACGTCGCCCTTTTGAGTACCTTCCGGCGGTCGCCTCTCCATTCGCAGCAATTCCGGAGCTGTCCACAGCTGCCCTGCAACAATCAACGATATTTTATGATCGTTTAATCTCACATAAGTCACACTTTCAATGTAGAGTGAATGAGAGAAAGAGAGAGAGAGAGACAAATATGTCGATTTCTTCCAGTTGATTCGTGCTAGCATCTCGATGAACTCTTGTTTACACATTGAGAGTAACTCACCTCTCTGACCAAACTTTTAGCACACAGAGACAAAGTTGATGCGCGTATTGATGGATGCTCTCGTTACTATCCCTGGTAATAACTTTCCCTTTGAAACGAGATAATTTGTCACTTACTAGTGTCGAATGGATGAAAGTAACACTATTCGTCAAATAACACTGTTAAAAATAATGGATAACAAACTGAATTATTTCAAATAGTCATTTCTTGTTTTAATTCCATGTAAAGTATGTCCAGTATGTTTGAAATACAATATCTATCAAATTAATAATTGCCTGAAATATTTATTTTAAAATTGTTATTTAAAGTAAATTTTGCCCAGATGTAGTGCACAGTGACGGACAAAAGAAAGATTAAAAGATAAGAGAACGTATATATAAAATATACTTCAAGCGCTATTACTAACATGATAAAAGATAATATTTAGTACATTAATTTATTAGATGTTCAATTTGTGCAGGAGTATTAGGTATACATTATTAAGTATACAGGAGTATACATTATTAAGTATACAGGAGTATACAGTATACATTATTAAGTATACAGGAGTATACATTATTAAGTATTAGGATATATACGATTTAATAAAATGAATAAAAAAAGAGGAAATTATAGTGTTCCTCTATACTATATAAATCTCCTTTTGTCCAGTTTTGTCATTCTCGGTGGACGCTCACCTCTCCAATAAGCGTAACTATCCTCGTAGTCTTCGTCGGTGGTGTTCGCTTTCCTCAGCTCGTGCAATCCAAAGTCCGTGATCTTGAGGACGAACCGCGAGTCAACGACGCAGTTCGAGGACTTCAGGTTACCGTGACTCTTCACCTCGGACGCGTGAAGATACGCCATCCCGCGGACGATGTCGTGGATGAGTGATCCACGGAACACGCGGTCCAGTTTGATCTGCTCGTTCTCCAATATATCCTGCCGCGATGAACAGGAAGAGCACATGTTAAACTGTCGTCGCAGCGAGATTCATTCACCCGGACCGAATAGAATCGAGTCGAATCGAATCGAATCGAATCGGGTTCAGGGGAAGAAGTAAACTTTGATCTCGGAACTTTGATTAAATTTTTAATCGAGCCCGATAACGAATGCACGCCGGGCAACAAAGTTAATCCCGTTTTTCTCCTCCTACCGACTGCAGGGAGAACCTGCAGTCAGACAGCTACATACGTGTAACTAACGGCGAACTGCTTTTATCGAACAACCGTCGTTTCTCGCCCAACGAGACTTTATCACCTACCCGTCTATCCCGTTTTATGACCATCAGGACGTTTACCGGAACATATGAAATTGCCGCTATGAAATAAGGAAACCTTGTTTAATAATTTGCAACTGCAGCCGACTGTGACGAACACCGGCGTTCAATATGTGACATAATGAAAACCTTACCGGTATATATACGGTGATGAAACCGAAAAGTTATAAAGAAACGGGGGTGCCTTTCTCATAAAAGGATCAGGGTGAGATGCACGAAGGATAAAATTTTGTTGCCCCAAGCGTAGTCATCTCGAGAAAATTGAATTTGAGGATTTCGTTTATGAATTTTTGGCCACTTGTTTATTTGTAAGTGATAAACGAAAGATTCGTTGATATGTATCATTATGTGTATATAAAGTGAAATACACGCGCACGTTGATAAACGTACAGATTAACGTAAGAGGCTGGTTTTTACGTATTATTATACTTTTTATACTTAATAATATATAAAATATACTTGTATTATTATTTTATTATTATTATTATTATTATTATTATTTATTATTATTATTGTATTATTATTGTATTATTATATTTATATACATATATATTTTATATATTATTATATTTATATACTTATATATTTTATATATTTTATATTACATTTATAAATAAATTAAATTTATATTATATATTATTACATTTGTGTACATGTTTATATGTAAAGTTAAAGAATATATAGAACGTTTAAAAATGCGAGAAAAATTTGAAACAAAATTCGTCGTTTTCAAGAAAAATAAGATTTGTATAGTTGAGGACTGGCTCGGCGCGGGTGTACTTTTAATAAATATTCAAATTTCATCCGCTCGGACACGAAGCGCTCTATGGGAAGATTTTATTTTACATTTCCGATTTATTTTCGCACGTGGAATAACCCACTGTCGATTTTTCATGCACGTTCTAGAACTGGCCAGATTCAAGTGCACTCGGTCGAAATTCTCAAATTCGTCGTAACAAGTAAAATCCAACGAACCTGAAGTGATCCTTTTGGGCAATACTCGGTTAAAAGGCAGCAGTACGGAGGATCGACGCAAGCACCATAGAACCGCACCAAATGATCGTGCTGAAGGTCTTTCATCTGCGAAGAGAATAGATAAAATTATTATATTATTGCTGCCGACAATAATAATTCGAAAGATAATAAAACAGAAAAGAAAGCTTCTGTACCGCGAGACCAATCCGGTTGTTCACAAACATTTTAGAAACTTTATGAAGAAAGGACGAAGGTACTCACCCTTTTTAATTCGAGCAACAAAGGCCGTGATATTTCCACCTTGTTCCTTGGTATCACTTTTATGGCCACCTTAGAATTCTGTGACGAGTCGTATTTACACGTGTTATCGACAAAAATAATTGATTCTTACACACGTTTCCCTTTGCAATTCGCAAGTTAACACGTTCGATACCAGCAACATATAAAGATCACTACTTGCTTGTTCGTTTTCTGGTTTTAACTTCATGATTAAAATGAATTTAAAAACAGAACATCTTTCTGTTTTAAAAATATTTTCCAGCAAAATATATCACCATGTTTTTCATCACGTGCTTTAAGATTTACTTACCATGACTATGAAATATTTATCACACTGTTATATCCCATTAAATAAGAACATATTTTTTAAAAACAAATGCAGAGTTCAAGCTAAGTTAAGTTTTTATTTAATGTCTGCTCCAATGTTTTGTGGTAGCGAACGTGTTAATAATTTGAAGCAAAAAAAAAGAAGAAAAATTGAAAGGAAACGAGGAAAGTAACGATAAAAGTGAGACAAAAGGGAGAAGAAGAGAAGATGAAGAAGAGAAAAATGAATAAAAGACAACATATATGCGGATAAGGTGATGGATAATGTATCTAGAGACGCGCTGCTTTACCGTCAGTAAAGTCGAACCTTGTAAATTCCCGTTGGAATGTAGACGTTTCTATCTACCCCACCTGGTAAACTAATGTTTTCGTCCGAGTATATGGTCTGCAACGAAAGAAAAAGCCATATTGGTTTGGACTCCTTTCTAGTTGCCTTTGGCGCAAATGCGTCACGCGAGTATTTCTCTGCTTTCTATGTTTCGAAAATATGCATAGAAGAGAGCAAAGGAAGATCCCATTTACGCTTAAAAAAAAAAAAGAAAAATGCAACAATGTAAAGAAAAGCTTCCACCGTGAGCGTAAACTGAGATTTCCTTAGTTTAGTAAAACAGAGCACGAAAACTACGAAAGTTTACGCAAAGTGTACTACCACAATTGAAACGGAACATTTGTAAATCTTTTAAGCATATTTGGTTCGTGCCAGCAATTTTACCTAAGTGGCGCTATAAAGTACCGTCATGTTATAAAAGATTCAAACAACTGTTGCCACGTTTCCTTTGTAAGCACAGTGCTCGAAAAGTAAACGTACATTTCATATTCACCGATCTTTTCCTCGACATGAAAGGAACTTGGATCGTTACATCAGAGTGAAAGCTACGAGATACGAGTAGAATAGAGAAATTTCGTTAGTTCCACTGGTACCAATGAAATAAAATTATTTGCAACTCGTACGATATTCGTATATCAATTTTCTTTCACCATTCTAATTCTCCAGAATTTCATAAATATCTCTGCGTATTTTCAGCAATTTGGAACTATCCAAATATTTGTCTGTACGAAATCACGATACTTCGCTTTGCTATATTTGAAATATGTAATACAGATGAAAAGAACATAATAATATAGATATTAGGATTATGAAAGTAACGATACAGAAATTTCATCAGTACGACTGGTACTAATGAAACAAAATTATTTGCAACTCGTACGATATTCGTATATCAATTTTCTTTCACCATTCTAATTCTCCAGAATTTTATAAATATCTCTGCGTATTTTCAGCAATTTGGAACTATCCAAATACTTGTCTGTACGAAACCACGATACTTCGCTTTGCTATATTTGAAATATGTAATACAGATGAAAAGAACATAATAATATAGATATTAGGATTATGAAAGTAACGATACAGAAATTTCATCAGTTCGACTGGTACCAATGAAACAAAATTATTTGCAACTCGTACGATATTCGTACATCAATTTTCTTTCACCATTCTAATTCTCCAGAATTTTATAAATATCTCTGCGTATTTCCAGCAATTTGGAACTATCCAAATACTTGTCTGTACGAAACCACGATACTTCGCTTTGCTATATTTGAAATATGTAATACAGATGAAAAGAACATAATAATATAGATATTAGGATTATGAAAGTAACGATACAGAAATTTCATCAGTTTGACTGGTACCAATGAAACAAAATTATTTGCAACTCGTACGAAATTCGTATATCAATTTTCTTTCACCATTCTAATTCTTCAGAATTTTATAAATATCTCTGCGTATTTTCAGCAATTTGGAACTATCCAAATATTTGTCTGTACGAAATCACGATACTTCGCTTTGCTATATTTGAAATATGTAATACAGATGAAAAGAACATAATAATATAGATATTAGGATTATGAAAGTAACGATACAGAAATTTCATCAGTTCGACTGGTACCAATGAAACAAAATTATTTGCAACTCGTACGATATTCGTATATCAATTTTCTTTCACCATTCTAATTCTCCAGAATTTTATAAATATCTCTGCGTATTTTCAGCAATTTGGAACTATCCAAATACTTGTCTGTACGAAACCACGATACTTCGTTTTGCTATATTTGAAATATGTAATACAGATGAAAAGAACATAATAATATAGATATTAGGATTATGAAAGTAACGATACAGATTAGAAAAAAAAATCGTGATCTCATATCGAGACCATTCTCTCCCGGAACAAGAGCAATAATTGGTATTCACCAGTTGGCTACCGCGCATCCTGTTCCCAATCAGCGAATACATGGAGCCCCGTGTTTTTGCGTTCGGTACGACGATAATATCATCCCAGTGCACCTTCCACGTCATGGAGGCTATTTCCGCTTCGAGCTTGAAGTGCCTGTAAAATGAAAAAGAAATGAAAAATGTTTCTCCATAGTAATAGCAAACGCTGTTGCTGCAGCAAAATCCACAACGCGAGCTTCGAAATGGCGAGGCCAGGCGAAACGTTACACCTCGCTGGTTATTTCAACGCGCAGTCAATCCGTTTAATACCACGTTTAATACGTAAGATCAGCCGTGAGAATTCAAGGCGCGCTGAACGTCTCGTTAATTCATGATTTCTCTGTGGATTTCTCGGGAAATTAATAGGATTATGCTGAAGCATGAGGTGGTAAGGGGAAGGGGAACGAAGGAAGGAACGAGGCCGAGTCCTGTTTCTTAATTGGAAATAGAAAAGCGATCGATTAATCGCGGTAGAGCTTACCTGTAAATGAAGACCGAGGCAACGACCAGAACCACGACGATTGAGCTCAACACCATTGAAAGGATCGCGTGCGCTGGCAAAGCTACGCAGCAAAAGGAAAAGAAAATCGATCGATCGGAAAAAACGAAAGATGCTTAGGTTTTTCGTTAATTTCGGACACTGTTCAAAAGTTCGAGACCACTTGCATTAATCTCGAATATCGGCAAATAATTTTGCTATGTACACTTTTGCTTCTAAATTTATTGTAATAGGATAACGATCCCGGAGCATTCTTTTATGTTGAAGAGAAGGAGGATCAAAAAATTTTAACAAGCATGATCTTAAGTCAGACTGAGTTGTTTTGAGAAGAACTTGATAAACAAGTATATTCTTCAACCTTAGAGAAACATCTAATGGAGATTGTTGGGAAATAAATTATTTGAGAGAATGACTGAGATAGTAGAAGTTGTATTGAAAGGCAAGATTGTGAATACTTTTGATGAAAAGCATGTAGTATACGCTAAAAATTGTTTTCCAATTTTTCTCAAATTTTTTTTTTATTTAACTAATGTCTATAAACATTAGTATTTAAATAAAATGTTCAAGAAATGGAAGTTTCTTTCTTAACATATATAATGGTCTTAAACTTTTGACCAGCAGTGTATGGCCATTACTGTTGATAAGTATTGAGACAGTGACACGAAATTAAAATAATCTAAAATTATGCATCTCGTAAAACATTTTGAAACGTACAGAATTCATGTATAAAGATCTCATGAAGTTGTAAATAATGCAACTTTAATAATTACAAAACAATTGTGAAATAATTTATTCTTATTAATATTTCTTTGGAGTTACCAAAGAGTTAAAAATGTTCCATCATGCTCGTTCTTATTATTAATTCCATGTATTTTACAATTCATTTCGCGAGCACAGAGCTTTTGAAATACGAGCAAACTCCTGTATATTATGTTTAAAAGCTTTTTTATTTATTTGTATAATATTTATTATTTATTATATTAAATCCTATCAATACAAGCATCTCGAAAGGTAAAACATTTTTGCAATGTTAATCTATCCGCGCGAAAGAAATTCTACTCAGGCAAAAATACATCACGTAGATGCGTTCGAAGCATAAATAAAGCTTACGATCTTTCTTCGTATTTCTCTCCGGATCCCTTAAACTTTTACCTCTACTTTAGCTTGAAAAAGTATTTCATATTAAATTGCAGAACATAAACTTATCAGAAGGAACGCGAGATAAGTTCTTCAAGATAATCTTCTTCTTTTATGAATTTGAGTAACTTTCGTGGAATTTAATCCCTATATATAACATGATGATTAAAAGCAATTCGAACAAACCAAACAGAATGTTCTGCATATACCTGAAACTTTAAGAAAATTATCGTCTGATAAATCAGTCGATATCCCCTTAACATAGTGACGTGTAAAGTATACATTGGGATGAGACTTACAGTTGTCGGGACACAGAGAGCCATCGAAGCCGCAGGTGGGTGTATCCGGTGGTGGTTCCGATCGGCCACCCGACCAGTGAATCCTCTTCCCAGGTATGTATTGCAACGTCTTATTAGCTCCGTAGTAATTGGCCACGATCTGCGACACACATGATTCACACACATGGCCACGTATTCGAAATACGCGCACGCGTTACACGGCCAGATATATTTTACCTCGAATTTTGACGTCTCCGGATTCATGTCGAGAAGAGAATAATCCGCTATTCGATCCCCGTTCTCGTCGATGTTCACATCCCCCGTGATACCTGCAGCAGAACGAAATGAACGAGAAACTTCGAGTGAAAAAAACTTCAAGTAGGTATAAAAATTAAAGTGAACGCGACGTTGTTAGAAAAAAACGTCGAAGAAATTAAGTTAAGAACTGTAAAAATGAAAATAAAAGGGAAAAACGTTATTACGAGGCATTTCGCTGTAATTTATTACAAAGTTATAAGCTGACATTGCGCGCGGCGTGAAATATGTGCATAGATTATTTATATCAGCGTCAAATATGCGCACGAATTTTTTTATCAGAATATGAAAAATCGTAGTATTCGCGTGATTTAATAATTTTGCCGATACCTAAGTGAATTTCCGTGCAATAGATTCTATCGAAGAAAAGGGAACCAGCGTTAAAATTTTTGTCCCCTACGACAAGAACCGATCACTCCCCTTTCGACCATCGATCAAAATCAGAAAACCCTTCCTTCGTGCCTTCGTTTGTTCACAAAGTACACAAAGTACAACAGGCAAGAGGGGAGGCAATAAAGAAAATAACATCGAGCAAAAGTTCTTCAAGTCCCTTTTCATAATCGAATGAGTGACCGGTGAACAAAATTGAATAGCACGTGAACTGATGCAAATTGGGAAATATTGCATTACCGGTAACGAGTTAAGAAAACTGGAGATGGGATAACTGGAGGAGCATGGGGAAATGACGTTGGATAGAGAGGGTCGCGGCCACACCTTTGAAGCTTCTACCCCACATCCTCCGGGTCAGATTACCACCGTCCAGATTCACTCTGCCCGGATTTTCCGGCAAGCTTTCCTTAAGAGCGAGAGCATACAGTAGGACAGCGTCGTAGAACGCCGTTACGAACGTCGAGACGGAATTGTTTCCAAACGTGAAGTTATATCTGGTCTGCGCCAGAGATTTAACCTCTCTCGAAAAGTTCAGATACTCGACGTTATCAGGGGTACGAGCGGTGACTGTTAATAACGCCTGATAAGCCTTCCGAGCTTTTTCATTTCTCTCCTCCGTGTCGGTTTCCACCCTCCATGGTTCCCTCGAGTTCTTGTCGCTGAAACATTGGATCGACGATCATCCGATTTACTTTTGTTACTGTGCATCTCTTCGTTTGGACCATTCGGTTCGTCCCTTTGGAACGAATACGTTTAACGAACAACGGTGTAGTGATATCAGTGATAGTATTATAGTAACTACTAGTCGAATTTTTAGCAAAACTTTGAATGTTTAGAATTATTATTCTTGGAAGTAATATATAGTATTAATTGTGTAGTTGAATGGATCTTGAGTAACACACTAAACACTAAATCTTTAATTTCATTAATTAAAAGATATTAATTTGTATGGAAGAATTAAAAGTATTGTAAATAACGTGTAAGTTATTAAAGATAATGCAAATGTGAAACTGTAGAAGAATAAATATATTCTTACACTTGTTAGTATATTTAATGTATTATATTTATGTTGTTTATATTCCTTATATTTATATTTA